CGACCACCTACAGTGGTCGGACACTAAAACTAATTTTAAAAATTCAAAGAGCAAAAAAAAAAAGTCTCGACTTATTTCTAACATCCTAGTAAAGCTGATCGGCATTTCCGACCACCATGGTAAATGTGGTCAGAAATTTCGATCATTTGTCGTCCAACTTAATTCTTGACGAAAAAATTTTTAAAAATCACTTTTTCCGACCATTTCTGTTGGTGGTCGGAAAAGTGGTCAGAAAATTGAAAAATTCCAGCAGTGGCATATATCATCTCCAACGGTAAAGTGTGATGAGAGTTCATCTCTTCCAGCTTCAAACCTTTCAATCGTCATTTTTAACACATCTCTTTGAAGGTTTAGATCAAGAAACCCATGTTCTTCATCCTTTTTATATCCAACAAAGATTTTCTTCCATTTGTGCAAGAAGATATGCATTCTTTTAATCTTTCTCTAATCTTTCTGAGCTTCTTGTACACACTAAGGAAGATGCTCTTACACCCTTTACCGTCCTAAAATCCTTCTAAGTCCTAAGTCTAAGACTGAGTGTTAATTGATCTCCAAATGTAATATTCTTATTTTCAATCTTATAGAGTTCCAAATGTATACACTATACACTATTAGTCTAGTAGAGAGACAAAATGTAAAGTGCATAGTTTGTCATCTTTGTTATGGTGTAAACACTTGGGTGTGTACGAGAAGGGTTTTTCTAACACCGAGTGTAGCTATGGTTTATAGCGGCAACCTTAACAACAAAATGGTGAATTTGTGTACCCTATGCTACGAAGGGGTGAAGGTTGTAGAAGTGCTATCACTTACGAGTGATGAGTGTGAAAGGGACCTAGGGACAAGGGTTTGGCGTCTTTTCTCACCCTTAGCTATGAAGGGTTTGTTTTCATAGAAGTGTTATCACTTGTGAGTGACGAGTGCAACGGAAGCAACTAGTGCCCACCAAGGAAAGTTGTGCTTTTCTTTCTTTACTTTTTACATTTCAAGCACATCCAATTATACGTATATTTACTTGATCGCCTAGTATTACATCAAATATAATCAAGGGATATAATCAATTATGACAAATTGACGAAAAACTTTTTAACCTAATTCACCAATCCCCCCCCCCACCGCGCGCGCGTTGAAATTAGGACTTTCACCTACATCTATCATATGTTTTTCATATTCTTTAATTATCATTTTATTAAAATCATAATATAAAAATTAATTTACTTGTAGATTATATTTTAATCAAATATCTGTGAATGTTAAATCGTGTGTGTAGTACATATATTATTTGTGTATATCTACTATACTAATAAGAGCTTAAGAGAGTTAGACCTATAATGGGTAGAAAAAATGGCGGTCAAATTTTTTAATCAAATGAATGGCTCAGATTGATCAGATTTTAATTTTTCCTTGAGATTTCCTAATTTATCCTTAATGAATATGATTATCCGTTAACTTTTCCGTTAAATATTATCTTTTCCGTTAATTTCTGTTAGTTCACCGTTAACTTACTCATTGATTTCAATAAGAAAGGTCTTAGGTTCGAACCACATCCCAATCAAAGTTGGCATAATTAGTACTCTATTTTACTCTTATTAAATTAAATATAATAATTTAGTAGCTACAACAAAAAATAATACATATGTATTTTTTTAATTTAGAATTATGTGTCTACAATGTCTTTATTCAAAAAAAATTATTCATTATCAATAAATTAAATAAAAGAAATAATTTCATTAGTTATATTGTATTTATTTTTCTACAATATAAAAATTCATTACATTAAAATTCATCAATTGATTATATTCGATACATTGTCTATACAATGTCTTTATTAAAAATATATATATTCATTATTAGTAAATTAATTAAGAGAAATAATTTTATTAGTTATATTGTCTTTATATTTCTCCAATGTAGAAATTCTTTACATTCAAATTCATCAATTGATTATATTCACTACATTGTCTATTATATTTTTTTTTGTGCACTATTTTTTAATTAAATATCAAAGTTATAATACAAAATAATGCTATTTATTTATTTATCAAGTATTTTATTAATACCATGAAAAAATTAAAAAATATATATATATAATTAATAAAGCCAATCATATTAAAGGGATTTGTTGACAAAGAGAGTATTCAAATCACACAACAAATTGAAGTGAGAACTACCTCACAATATAATGTCTTTGTTTGACAATCAGCAGTTAGCGTTAGTGGATTATATTAGCGGATTTGACCAGCGAATTATATCAACGGTTGATAAAAAGATATTTGAAAAAAATTGGATGTTTAGATTAACATAAAAAATGACATAAGGGTATAATAATAATAATAATAATAATAATAATAATAATAATAATAATAATAATAATAATAATAATAATAATAATAATAATAATAATAATTGTTTTAAAAAAATAAAAAATATAATTAAGTCAATCATATTAACTACTTGGGAGATTTATTGACAAAAAGAGTATTCAAATCACACAACAAATTGAAGTGGTAAACTATCCGCAATGTCCTTGTTTGGCAATCAACAGTTAGCTCTTCAATATTGGTATATATTTAATATTTTATGCCCTAATTTTTATTTGCTCTCCCCTTATGTCCCGTATTTGGTTTCAACCATACCTATACAATTATTTTATTGACAATTATAATCAATCTTGACTACATTATCTTGCATTTGTAAACTTAGAATTGTCTATTTAAATATGCAAATTTAACATTAAATTATCTATGCATGAACGATTCCAATATAATCTTGCCTTGATATACTTTAAAGTACTTATTTAAAAAAAAATATTGGGCGTTATCCCAATCGCGCAATGCGCGTCAAAAACTAGTATACCAATATATGTGGGTGCAATATAAGCTTAGTATTATATATATTTTTTAATTTTATTTTTATTTTTTAAAATGTAAAATGTATGAAAATTATTTACAATATTATTAAACAAAATAAAAATTCCTTTTTTAATCTATATTTTTCAGATATGATAATTAAAATTAACACTTGAATTTTTAAAATATAATTTGAAATAATTCTTTTAATTATGTTATTTATCAATAGATAATGAAATTTCACACATCACACACCCAAAATATTAGTATATTTATAAGCATAAATTTTCTAATCTTTTGCCAAGCATTTTGTGCTCAAATAGCACTCTATGGCCCTCCTTAAAAGGGATTGAATCCTGATAGTGGAGTATTGACTTTTTAAATTATGAAAGATGGAGAAAGTATAAAACATATACTAGATTCATGTTACGATATTACATTAACAATTATCCTAAATTACTGATGTGAACAAATTTTCTTCATCATTTTCTCTCCCCACCATTAAGTAAAGTACCCTGAAAAGTGCTAAAAAACACTCTAATTAAAGTAATTTCAGCACTGTCTGCAATTTCATTGTGCAAACTTACAAAAAAACCTTTTGTCCTTTACTCCTTTCTACCCCACACAACACTTTCCGTCTTCCTTTCTTCATCCCCATGTGGCCATGTAAAATCTTTCTCCTTGAGCTCACTAAGTTTTTACCCTTATTATATTGGTAATGCGCAATGTTTATTTTTAAATAAGTAATTGAAAGTATATCAATTCAAGATTATATAGGAAATGTTCATGAATAAGTAATTAAATGTTAAATTTGTTTATTTAAATTGGTAATTGAAAATATATGAATGCAAGATAATATAGGAAAGATTAATTATAGTTGTCACTAAAGTAAATGTTTGCAATTTTGTAATAACGCTAGCTTAAATACTTAGTCTAAAAATAATAGTCTAAATAAATATTACTTTTTGTTTGAATTTCTGTCTTCTTAATTCTTTTTTGGGTAGCAGTGTTATTGTCTTCATCTTCAATACTTGTCCTATTCTTTTTTATTGGTAATGTATCATGTGCAACTGGGTTACTGGTGGTAGCATACAAGGAAACGTCATGCAATGAGATTATGGTGTAAGAAGCTACGAATTTGCCTTGTTGTGTATATGACTGGGATCTTAGTTGTACTATGAACTCTTAATCTTGCAAATGCATGTTTATATTAGGCCATAGTAGTTTTTCCCTATATGTTTCATTGTGAAATGCGTGTCGTAGATTCTTATGTGAAAGTATTGAACAAAATATTAATATTTATTATATTTAATTTGTAGAAGGTTCATGTGCAGTACCTCTTGTAATACTTTTATTTTATTTTATTTTAATTTAAAAGTGTTACATTTTTTCTCAAAAGTATTGTATTTCCCCTTATAAGTAACAACCACTAAAAGCATCCATAATAGTGAAGTTTTTTGGTGGTTTTTGAGGAGTTTTTGTATGTGTGATTAGGAAAGAGAAGAGGGAAAGAGAAAAAGAAAAAAGAGGAAAAAAAAAAACCGATCTGACACTTTAAAAATAAAAGGAAAAACAATAAAAAAAATAGATGCTTAATGCGCCAGCCGGCACGTGCATTGCATGCGCCCAGCTTGGATTTGCTGTGCGCGAAACGCAAACAATTTCGTTTGTTCCTTTGATCGAAACTCTGTTCCAAAAACCCTTTTTTGCATAGCAAACTAATTTTTCTCTCTCTGGACTTCTCTCTCCACCATGTCAGCACTCACTGTTTCAAAAACCACAAAAGCCACCGATAATGGTGCTCTAATAAGGAATAAACTGTTTGTTACTAATAAAAGAAAGTGTAATACTTTTGAAGAAAAATATACTTTGTAATACATTTACATTTTAATTTAAAAGTATTACATTTTTCTTCAAATGTATTACACTCCGCTCTCACTTATAATAAGTTACAAACCCTTTATTTTTGATTAGTATTACATTTTTTAGTATAAATATTACATTGTCATATTACTTGACCTATTTCACGAATAAGCTAAGGATTCGTGATATAGTCTTACACAAGTTTTTTTGTAAAATTAGAAGTGGTAATTTCCGAAAAGATGGTGAGGCTATATGAGCAGGCTGCACCTTCCTAGTGAAACTTACAAAAAGCCTTTGTCCTTTCTACCCCAAATTAAACAATACTGACTTTTTCCATCTACAATTCTTCAAATCATCATATCCCCAAAGTAAAAACCCAAACCCCTCCCTCTTCTTTCTCCATATCTCTATCATATAATCCCCACCTCCGGGAACTAAGGCCCAAAGCACATATCCGATGGGGTCCCAACCTGAGACACCAACACTCCCACTCTTCTCAATCCCACCCATGCAGTCGCCGGAGCATCCCGGGATGCTGACGCCGCCGCTCCACACCGCCGTCTCCGTCCCCTTCCGCTGGGAGGAGCAGCCCGGGAAGCCCCGTCCCTGCACCGATCTCATCGCCCTCCCGCTCCCGCCGCCGCCCGACCACGCCATGTTTTCCGGCCGCCCCAAGTGCTTAGACCCACCCCCCAGGCTCTACTTGGAGTACTCGTCTTGCAGAAACAGCGCCACCGCCAAGTCCCCCTCCCCCACCACCGTCCTGGATGGGCCCTACATCACCGCGAGGCCGCAATTCTCTTCTTCGTTCAGATTCTCTTCCGATGGGGCCGGCAGCCCTGAGAAGGGGCAGCTTAGAGCGCTGGTTCTTGGGGAGAAGACGAAGAAGAAGAGGAGCTGGTGGCAGAGGACCCTTAAGTTTAAGGGTGGGGGTAGGGAGATTGGGGGGTCCAGTTTCATCTTCCCGTCGTATAACTCCATGGATGCCGCTAGCGATAATGATAATGGCAATAGTTCAAGCGTGAAAATGGCGAGATTTACAAGAACTGGCAGCTTTTCCACCCTTTCTCCTGCTAGGTCTCACTTTTGGGTACGCTTTCTTCTCCCCATTTCTTCTCAAATTATTGCTCTCTGTCTCTCACCATAAACACTACACACAATACAATGAATGAGTCAACCATTGTTTTAATCTCTCACACCCTACTATTAAGACTAAATTCTTAGATATAAAATAAAGAGTTAATTAGGAAAATGATACTATAGCTAAATTATTAATTTGGTCTTTAACTTCTTCTTTTTTTTTTTTTTTTTTTTTTGTCTAATTAAGTTTCTCAACTTTAAAAATCTTAACCAATTTGGTCTTCTATTTGTTTAGTCGTAGACATCTGTTTATTCTGGACCAAATTAGTAATTTTGTTATAGTTAAGGAACCATTTCGGTCATCACATGCACAATTTCGTCTATTATTAAACCGATGAGTTAATTATCGAAATGACCCCTTAACTATAGTGAAATTACTAATTTGGTCTCGAGTAAGCGGATATTGACGACTAAACAAATGAAGGGCCAAATTATTTAAGATTTTTAAAATTGAAGGACTTAATTAGGTAAAAAAAAAATTAAATTAGTAATTTCGCTATAGTCAAATGACTATTTTAATAATTAACTCTAAAATAATTATATACTAACATAAACTCATTAAACTTACTAAGAACCTTGTGGTCTAATGGTATCAAATTGGGCACTTATATGAAACATAAAGTAAGTACTCAGATTCTACGTTACTCTGATTTACCTCCTTCAAGAATTCTGAATGCAGGTGTGAGGTGACCGCAAGTTTAGGGCTAAACATAAGTATAAATTTGACAAAGTTAGAGGTTAAGAGTCAAAGTTGGGAAATCATTGTAGTACGTGTAGGTACTATTTACTCATTTAGATGGTTTAACTATTTATTTTCGTTAGCAAATTTCTATGTAAGTAATGGTATTTTTACCAAATTGTTTTACAAGTAGGCTGATATTGTTTATTTAGTATTAATTTATAAAATTTATATATTTAAAAATTAAAAGTATCTTTAAACACAAATATTAGATTTAAAAAAAATTGAGAATAGATTTTAAAATTTTTAAAAATATAAAAAATCAAAGAAATAAAATTTAGATTAATCAATGAATAGTAAATAAAATAGAGACAGAGGAACTAATAAATTTGACATGGAATTATAGGTTGCACTTAAAATATTTGAGTGCCATAGTATTACAAATAAAAATCCATGAGCTATATTTATTATGTTTTTAAAAATATTGTATAATTGGTTCAAAATGCATTATTATTATTTCTAATATGTTGAATACAACAAATTCTGTGTGCAATATTACTAGACTTTTCTTGATTCATGATTAATTAATAAACATAAATAATATTTTTATTAAATTGGAGCAGGTGATAATAATACACAATAAATAAATAAATAAAATGATGTTATCATTAGGTGTAAGTGGTTAAAGCACTTGGCGGTAAACTAACTCCCGCCCTATTGCCGCAGTCCCCACTCTAGCAAAGTGCCATGAACGTTTTCTTTTTGTTTTTGGTAACATTCAACTATGTGATAGTTACATTAAATTATTATTTTAAGATATTTTTTTTTGAAAATATTTTTTTATTTTAAGATATATTATTAGAGTTAATTCTATTTTTTGTGCTAGATTTATAGGTGACATGAAAATTCACTTTTAGTCGTTTTTTTTATTAGAACATCCTCATTTGATCCTGGTATTAGTGTGACATGATCATTTTTAGTCTTCCCTCAACAAAATCGTTGAAATATCATTAAATACAAAGACATTTCAATCTTTTTATACAAATAGGTTGAACTGCTATTTGTTTTTTGTTTATTTTTTTTTGAAAACATCCATAATTGAAGACCGAAATATCCTTGTATTTAACGATATTTAAAATATTTTATTGATAAAGGACAAAAAACGGTCATGCCGTAATAATACCAGGGTCAAAAGTGAATGTTCTAATAAAAAATGACTTAAAGTGGACTGCCACTGTTGAGCATATAGCCATTAATGTGCAATCCAACTATCAGCTTAGGCTTTTAGTTAAGATGGAGCACATGCTTCAATTTGGTATCAGAGTCAAGCGCCACCCATAAGTGATTATGGTTCACGTGTTGCTTGGAATCCACCACACACGTGAGGGGGCGTGTTGAGCATATAACCATTAATGTACAATTTAACTATCAGCTTAGACTTTTAGTTGAGATGGAGCACATGCTTCAATTGCCACCAGTAAATCTAGAATAAAAATGGAATTAAATGAAATCATATTTATTTAGTTCTTTTAATTCCTGTCACGCAAGCTCTTTTAACGGTGTTTGCCATGTATTTGGTGCTATGTACACATATATTACTTCTCTATTCATTCCATCTTTTCGGCTGTATAACAGGAAAAGAAAAGAGTTACTTTAAAAATTGTAGAATAAGAAAATGAAAGAATTATAATATAATAATAAGTAAAAGAATGAAAAAGGAAAGAAGAGTCGGTGGCTATTGTCATTGACTTTTCCCACAGATTATGTTAGATTTCATTTATTAATGGAAATGATTATAACGACAGAAGTATAAAAAATCGTGTTCATCATAATATAATAGGTTTTATTTTAGGTGTAATGACCAAAACACCCTAATTAGAGTTTTGACAATGATATGTGGGTGTAGTGTATGGCTGATACAAAATCCTTAGTAATTGGGGCAGTTGAAAAATGAAGAAGACGAATAGACGTCAGACATTAAATCACGACTTTCTCTCTCTCTCTCTCTCTCTCTCTCTCTCTCTTTTTTTTTTATTTTTTTATTTTTTTTTATTTTATTTAAAATAAAATTTCGTGCACAAAATAGTATTGGTTTTTTAAAAATTGGTAGTTTCTTGACTTGTTTTATCCACATTTTCAAGAATATAATTTAAAAAAAAAAACGTGAAATTATAATTTATGCCCTCACAAATATGTCAATTATCAATGTCACTTATTAATTATTAGTAGTATAAATGTTGCCCCTTAATTTTTAAAATGTGACATATATTGCCCCTCTCTTAATAGGCAGAAGGAGAAACATTATTGTCGGAGGAAAAAGTCAAACGAAAAAAAAATGAAAGAAAAAAATGTGGTCTTCAAAGAAAAAAAAAGGCGGGTAACCACATTTACACACTAATAATTCAAGAGATGGGCAATATGTCACATTTTTAAAATTGAGGGGCAACATTTACACATTAATAATTCAAGGGTGACATTGATAATTGACATATTTGTAAGGGGCAAAAATTACAATTTGAAAAACGTTTATTAAGCTTTAAGGTTTGCATATGAATTATACTTCTTAACGTGAGTACGTGACTTTAATTTTTTGTTTTTTATTTTTGTTTTTTGTTTTTTTTTTTGTATTTATTCGTTAACTATAAATTCACAAGTTTTATTACAAATAATCAAAATTTTCACTTTTTTTAGAAGGGTTAATTTGAAACAAAAATTATATAATATTTTTTTTCTTAAAAATTGTCATTAACATCATCTCATTCGATCATGTCCGTACACAATAAACACCATTAGATAATAGAGATAGATTTTTCTTGGCATAAAAAATAAAATCATCATTAACACAAGTATCCATTACAAGATGGGTCGGAATCGTATTATGCAATTTTTGTCTATTATAATTTCAAATTGAAATATTTCAATTAAAAAATTTTGAACTTATAATAAGTATACATTTATAACAATTTTAATACAGTTTTTTTTTTTTTTTTTTTAGTTTTATGTTTAGCTTTCTTCTGTCCAAACACTTTAGTAGGAGGGGAGGCCAAAGTTGCAAAACATAATTTGAAATGAAGTTGAATCTCAGCTGTCAGATTCTTTTTCTTTTTCTTTTTCTTTTTCCTACCTTACCTTAAAAACAAGAAAATAAGAAAAGCATGATATGATGACCGTAGCGAAATATTCCACAATCTTTTCTTACCAATTAAAGTGCTCTTTTTCTAAATAAAAAGTACATCTAAATTATTAAATATTATAAAAAGACAATATGTTTATCACATGGACATAATTATCTCTACTGAACTACATTTATACCCTTGTGTAAAAATTTGAACTACGTACACTAAAACTGTACGGTAAGGATTGTACGATTAAAGTGGTTTAATTATTTCAACTAACCTTATTGTCATCAGTCAAATCATTTTACTTTGTGGTTTTTTTTTTTTTTTTAACAAACTCTTAATTAATGGCAATAGTTATGACGAGGAGTACGTTAGTGCAATTATGACAACAAAAAATGTGAGAATTTATTGAGGGTGGGTTATACATAACTAATATTTATATGCGTGATCACCGGGGGCCTTGGCCCCTTCCCACCAAAAAAAAAAAAAAAAATATTTATATGTTTGATGTACAAAAATATATCTCTAACAGTAATATTAAATGTTAATTTATTTTAAAAATAATTGTATGTATGTATGTGTGTGTGCGCGGATTTTAAGTTTATAATTGTAGTTGTATTTTGAGTAATAATTATGATATGATTAATATTATTAAAATAAGAATTTTATGCCAAGCATATTGTGCTCAGATGGTACCCTAATTGGACTCCCATATAAGATGTTGTGAGTTTGAGCCTCGGTGGAGGTGTTATTGGCTCAATATTATACTGTAAAAGAGTCAGAGTCATCCACCGTTATGCTCAATATTTAAACAACACCGTTTTATACAACCTGCGAACTACCAAAGGAATGTAGGACAACTGTTACGGTGCATTATGCTCAATATTTAAACAACACCGTTTTATACAACCTGCGAACTACCAAAGGAATGTAGGACAACTGTTACATTGCGGTGCATTCCTGGATAAAGCTGGAGTAGTTGTGATGTATTTGTACGTGTAGTAGTTGTGGTGCTTTCCTTTAATTCGCAGTTTTGCCCGGGAAGCCACATAGCATACTCTCTCTCTCTCTCTCTATATATATATATATATATATATTACACTCTCTCTCTCTATATATATATATATATTACCTACAAGGCGGAGTTAGTGTGATTAGCTCACTTACTGGTTCTGTTGTGCATGAATTACAGGCAACGATATACCATGGTGTTAAGCAAGTTATGCCATGGAAGTGCAAAAAACCTAAGAAAGAAGGCTTTGTCCTTTAGTTTCATTCAACGACGCCGCTAACCAGCGTAAAATGATCAAATCGTGCTCCTCGATCGGACGCATATGTAGCATATATCTTCTTTGGATCTTTTAAGGTATTATATAATTTGTGTTACTCGGAAGTTGTCGGCAGGTCTGATGATATATGATAAAGATATAAATTAACAATACTTTGAGGGCTGATGAAAAAATTAGCAGAAGATGAAAGTGGACTTCATTTCTATGGCTGTCTGTGTTATGTTTGACTTCTATTATATGTTAATATAATATATTTGAGAAAAATGTATTTGCAAAAGGGCAAATCATTAGCAAGTCGAACTGTGTTAGACTGTATTACTGCAAACTTATAATTATAAAGTAAATATAGTTCAATGTTTTAACATATAATTAATTTTTTAAATTTTTTTTATATATCTAATTATTTGATGTTGTAAAATTTAACAATGTGCACTGTAAGATACAATAATATGCTCTGGAAGAAGGGACAATGTGCACTGAAACTCTGGAAAGACACACACACACACACACACACACACACACACACACACACACACACACACACACACACACACACACACACACACACACATATATATATATATATATATATATATATATATAAAGAGCATTTAATCTTGAATGAATCACTAATTACTAATTTTAGTTGAATAATACGATCTTTTATGATTTGTATTGAAAATCATATATTAAATTTAGGGTGTGTTTGGTTCGCACATAGGAATCGGAATCGGAATGAGTATCGAATACTTGGTAATGGTAATGGGTTTTGGTGAAAGTATTTAACATGTTTGGTAGTAGGGTGGAATGGGAATGGTTACTAATAGTAGTGCTTGAGAATGAATAAGGGAATGAAACCCTTATTGTATTTGGGTATGGATTTTTCAATTGATGGGGTATTCGAAACCCATAGTAGTGTTCTAAAAACCTATCAACCAAACAACAACAATCACTTTCATACCCACACCGTAATGGCAAAAGTTCGAGGCCAATCTGTGTCGCCACCCTTCTTCTCACCTGAAATGTTAGTTTCCAGCCAGGCTTGAAAGTTCTGTTGGTGCCAAGAGTCATACCTTTCATTCCCTGCAATAATTTTCCACACCTCCTTCGCATGCTTACATTTTCTGATGATGTGCTCTGTGGTCTCATCGCATTCTGGGCATACACCGCATCTGCCATCTCCAGTGAACCCTCTTCGATATCTCTCTGCATTTCCCATTAGTCGGCCATGCATGGCAATCCAAAGGAGCGCTTTCATCTTGTTTGGTACTTTGATTTTCCACATCTTACCCCATACTGGATCCTGCATATTAGTAGTATTTTTTCGTGCTAAATTATAGGCAGAGGACATTGAGAAGTTACCTGATGCCTCCGGTTTCCAGTATGGTTCATCTTGATTGTCGAAGCCCTCCAAGAAGACCATGTCAAGTTTGCGTTGTAAAAACTCGGGGAGGTTATTGTACGTTTCCCGTTTCCATCCCCCCCCCCCCCCCCAACTTCCACATGTGGGCAACCCTCTCATTTGTTATCATTTCCTGGTGTTGTTGCTTCAAGAAGGTGCTGAGAGGTTGCTCGTGAATCCAAAGATCTTTCCAAAATCTGGTGGAAGTTCCACTTCGTACCGTGAAGCGAGTTCCTTGTTGGAGGAGATGAGATGCAGCGGTTATACCCCTCCAAGCGTTTGAACTTCCATGCTTTGGTCTAAAGATTTCCATGCCTACTCTGCCTTGCCCGTACTTGGCAGTTAGGACTCTCGCCCACAGGTTTCCTTGCTCATTCATGAGCCTCCAACCAAGTTTCGCCATGAACGCTAGGTTGGCGTCTTTTGAGTTGCGAATTCCTAGTCCTCCCTCCGTTTTAGGCTTCGTAACAACATCCCATTTTATTAGATGACACTTTCGTTTCTCCAAAGAGCCTCCCCATATGAACTTTCGAATTCTCTTGTCAATTGCCTCCCACACCCCCGCTGGCATGAACATGGTCTGCATAGTGTAATAGGGAATAGTATGTAGGACCGTTTGGGCAAGCACTTGTCTCCCTGCTAGAGTCAGAAACTTAGTTTTCCAACCCTCAAGGCGGCCGTGTGATGTGTGTGGATATAATTGTCTTATCAAATTTTAATAATTATATAAGTACTAGGATTTAATTAATTTTGTTAGAAATATAATTTTTCAAAGTGTCAAAATACCTTTTCAACACATAAATGTTCTAAATGTGACACGGTCACAACTCACAAAGAATGTTGAAAGAGATGTACTTATAAATGCACTTAGCTTGTAACAAGTTCTCACATAAAAGAGTTAAATATAATGTGGTTAATTAATTAGCACCAAAGACGGATGATCTCCAACTAAAAGTATCACTAAAATTATTATTATTATTATTATTATTATTATTATTATTATTATTATTATTATTATTATTATTATTATTATTACTAGTAATTCACCCGCGCGATGCACGGAAAAAAATTATGCTATTATAAATATAAATAAAAAATAGAAAAATTAAAATATTTTAAATTATTTAATATAATAATATTTTTGAGCTTCCATTGGTCAAGTATTTATTATTTTTATAGAATACAAAATTACAATTAAAATTATAATTATAATTATAATTATAATTTTATATGGTTAATATAATCTCCAATTATGTGCATATTCAAATAAACTTATAGAGATAATTTATATAATTACATTGATTTATTCTTAATTGTATTTCATCTATATTATAATTTTCACAATACAAATAATAACTAAGATAATTACATTTGGAAAGCAAATTTTAAATTTTGTATGTGTAAATTTAAACTCTAATTGAACACATTTTTTATATGATTATATAATATATAGCTATTTTATTTTTCAAAAGTATATTTTTTATATGATTATATAATATATAGTTATTTTATTTTTTAAATGTTGTGCTTTTTTTTTTTTTTTTTAATAATAAAGGATGTTGTGGCATTAATTATAACATTAATTATTCCCCAAACCATATAGCTTTATTATATAAAGGATTATTATTATTATTATTATTATTATTATTATTATTATTATTATTAATTCAACACAAGCCACCAATGCCTTAATCACCTAATTATAAGCTACACCATTCAAGAAGATGGAACTATTATTCTTTATAACTTTTAGATTTGATTTTCCTTTAAAATATACTAGTAATTATCCCTGTGCATGCGATGCACGAACTATTATTAATTTAACAAATTTAGCAGTTAAATTTTTGACTGAATTAGCAAAGAAAGTAATGGTTGTGGAAACAGAAAAACGTACTTGACCTCAAAATTAGTTTGATTAAAAATGTAAGTAATTGATTTAACAAATTTACCAATAGTCAAATTAATTATAATTGAGGTTTAACTAAATATATACACAAATTATATTAGATATAAAACTTTACCAATAAATTTGAACACAATAAATTTTTTTCCATACTTCATTATGCTTTAATATATATAGAGATAGAGCTATAATAATAAAATAAAAATACACATAATAACTTCCAAAAAATATGTATAAATACATCTACCCACACAATTAATGCATTCATACTTGCTATCTTGTTTCTATCAAAATGCATTCACACTTTGGAGGGAAAATTTTGTGGCTAGATTCTGCTTTATATTATATAATAATATAGAATTAATTTCACTTTTGGTCCCACAACTTTTGATGTTCTATCACTTTTGGTGCACAACTTTAATTTTTTTTTATTTTGGTGCATAACTTTGTTATTTTTATCAATATTGGTCCTTTCGGCCAAATTGACAGCTAAATGTTGCTGGATTTTATATTGTTAGGGGTAAAATCGCCATCCCAAGGAAACATCTTCAGTATCTAAACAAAATCACCGTAAAATCATATCTATAGGTGTTTGATGATGCGAATAATGGGGAAGATGGGCAGAAACCAGACAGATCTATGGGATTTATAGTTTCGACCATTGGAAAACTCTTCTTTTCCTCTTAATATGATTTTTCTTTTGTTTAAATATTGAAGATCTTTCCATGTGATGACGATTTTGCCCCTAAAATATAAAATCCGGAAATATTTTACCGTCAATTTGGCTGGAAGGACCAAAACTGATAAAAATAACAAAGTTAGGCACCAATATTGAAAAAATTTAAAGTTGTGCACCAAAAGTGATAAGAACTCAAAAGTCGTGGGACCAAAAGTGAAATTAATTCTATATATATATAAAGAAGAAAAGATGTGTTTTCGTAATCCTATCCTATAATAATAGTACCAAAGTCCATAAAGCGCTATATTAGAATCATGATTTGTAACATAATTTTGAAAGAATAAAGCTATACTAACCAAAATTTGTTAATAAGAATATTTTAATTCAAACCATATATATATATATATATATATATATATACACGCTTAGGTTTTTTTTTTTTTTTTTTTTTTTTTTTTTTTTTTTAAATTGCTTGATTCTGACTGTTGATCTGGAATGAATCAAAGGATGTGATTAAACCATAGCATTTAAAAAAAAAAACCCTAAGCATATATATATATATATATATATATATATATATATATATATATATATATATATATATATATATATATATAGTGAAAGGTTCCAGCGCGGTTGAATGCTTCCCGTGCGGTTGTGCGGTTGATTAATGTGCGTGAATTTTGTAGTCAATGTGCGTGAGTCATGTGTTTAATGTGCCTGAGATTTGTACTTAATGTGCGTGAGTGTGTAATGTTAATGTGCGTGAGTCTTGTACGTAAGGTGTGTGATTGTTGTGCCTAAGGTGCGTGAGTTTTGTGTTTAATATGCGTGAACGTGTACTTAATGTGAGTTGTTGTATGAGTTGTTGTTGAAACTTTAAAGTGCATGAGTTTTGTGCTTAATGTGCATGAGTTTTGTGCTTAAGGTGCGTGAGTTTTGTACTTAATGTGCGTGAGTGTGTACTTAATGTGAGTTGTTAAAAACTTAAGCCAGACTAAGATTCCTATTAATATCCCTATAGATGAAAGACCACACTCACGCACATTAAGCACACAACTCACGCACTTTAGGTACCAGACTCATGCACCTTAAGTACAAAACTCACGCACATTAAGCACTACACACTCACGCACATTAAGCACAAACCTCACGTACCTTAAGCACAATACTGACGCGCACTAAGTACAAACCTCACGCACATTAATCACCCGCACAACCGCACGGGAAGCTATACTCGCACCTGAACCCTTCCCTCTATATATATATACCATTAATAATATTAGATGGATGCACACGATTTGTTCTCACGTTCTCACCTAAGCAAGTGCTATCATTGGAACCCCACTCACTCTCTCTCTCTCTCTCTCTTTATGTATATATATATATATATATATATATATATATATATATATATATATATATATATATATAGAATAAAGTTCAAATGCGGCGGGGTCTTCCCGTGCGGTGGTGCGGCGGAATTCCAGAATACACCAACAGTGTTAACAATATGCACCAACAGTGTAATAAAAACACACCACAATGAAATGTAATAAAACATCACAAAATACACAATAGATTCAAAAAAATACACCATATAACTCACCACCCCCAATGGTGTATTTCCGAACAGCGTATGGTGTTTTTACTCACACCTAATGATGTGTGGTTGGTGATGCAGGGCTCTGTTTACTCTGTTTTGTGTGGTGTATTTTCCTAACGGTTGATGGTACATATTTGTTGAACTATTGGTGTTGCCGCACCGTAAGAAATCGCCGCACCGTAAAACACTGTCGCACCTGAACCCGCCTATCTATCTATCTATATATATATATATATATATATATATATATATATATATTATTGCCACTATAGAGAGCTCATGCAATATCTCAAACTAAAAAGTTCACTATTCCAGAGGATTTAAAAGAGACTTGGTTAGAATAGAATAATATCCTTTCTTATTATAACTTTTGCTTTCCTTATCTTATACTTTCTCTGTACATTTTATCTGTTCTACTTATTATTTATTGGTCAAACCAACTCTTTATTCTTTGTTTATTTTATTTACTATTTTTATATTTAATTTTTTTGTTCAATAATTTTTTTAGTATAGTTTCTGAATATATATAAATTTTGTATACTAATACTAAACTTAACATTATAAAAATTGAATTAAAAATAACTTCAATCAAGCCTCGTTAACCACAACCAAACACAAAAAATGAGACGAAGGGAGTAATAATTCTACCCATTTGTCAAAATATAATAAAACTTTTTTACATTTCAAATTTTAATTTCTTGCATTATTTTCAACTCAAAGAAACCAAGACATCAATGCCTTATCACCTAAGCTACCGGCTTTAAAAAGATGAAAATATTATTCCTTGCAATTTTTTAATTTTAATTTTCCTTACAAATATATAGACTTTCCCAATGGTATACTAATGCTACTATAGTCTAATTGAATAACGTACTGTATTAGGACTATGATTAGTACCTGATCTTTCATAAAACCTGCGATGTGCATGGATACACTTCCCTATCAAATCCCAATAATTATATAAAGAGAAAATCAACATTTTGGTCATCCTTCAATTGTTGGCAAACTGTCAACGTAGTTCCTCAATCCCTTATTCATCGATTTAGTCCTCGAAATCAATTGTTTTTAGTCGATTAAATCTTTCCGGCCATCCTCCGTCAGCCAACCGGTGAGTGATCCAATTAACAATGGGCAATGTGGTCTTTTCATGTCTTCAGTCATCTTCTTATACCCGGCGTTGAAATAGACTCCACAAATAGCGAAGAAAATCCCTTATACATCCACAGAGCCCTAGTGGTGCCACAAGCACTAGTGGACCTCGTTTTCCACCACTAGAGCTTGGGAAAACCTCTGAGGAGGAGGTGGTGGTGGTGATGGCAGCATTTTTACACACATATAGCTCCCCGAATCAGTCCGTTTTCTTACCGGAGACTATCGAATCTTAAAAGATGAATTTGAAACTCTGGGAGACATTCATATGGTCCTTTGTTCCCCTAGTGGCGGGGTAGGAATGAACCGCGGTTGAGCAATGAAGTTGACTAATGAGTCAGGGGACCTGGACCTCAAGCTTCAAGGATTCAAATTAACTCTATGGAAGGACGAGCACATGAAGATTCAATTGGGGAATTCAAATTCGAAATGGGAAAGCTACTCTAAGCCCTAAATGGCTCTTCAGACCCTCGCTGAGAGATCCAATCAATAAGGTTGGGACTATTTCTGTCTCATGAGATCCCCGAGGGGCAGGAGGTTGGGTGGCGATTTCGCAGCGAGTTAGTTGATCTTCGTTTACTTCCCAAGAGCTCACCCGCGTACCGAGGTAAAGAAATTCCGAACTGGTTGACGAAGCCTTGGTTTGATAGCAGGGCAGCCTCGTACACGGAAGCCGGGGTTTCTTCATAGTATCGCCACCGAAGCCTGCGTCGGAAGGTGTGGCATTAGGCGGGACAAGGCGGAGATTGTCGGTCTTTTGCCGGTGGCTCTTCTCGCTGTAGCGACGGTGGTGGAGGAAGAAAAACACGGCGAGGCTGATAACAAGGCAAGCAAACACAACAAAGACAACCACAATACTGGTTATCACCTTCGAATAAACGGGCTCGCCGGCATTTGAGGAAGACTCCAGCACAAAAATGGAGGAAATATTCATCGGAAGAGTAGAAATCGGAAGAATCAACGCGTATAAGAAGATGACTGAAGACATGAAAAAACCACATTGCCCATGCTTAATTGGATCATTCATTGGCTGGTTGACAGAGGACGGCCAAAAGGGTTTAATCGACTAAAAATAATTGATTTCGAAGATTAAATTGATGAATAAGGAATTGAGGAACTATGACAATTCGCCAACAATTGAGGGATCAAATTGTTGATTTTTCCATTATATAAAGGGAAAATGACACTTTTCCCCCTTTGTTATATACTTATAGCACTTTTTCCCCCTAAATTATTTAAGTGGCAATTTTTCCCCCCTGATATATTAAATGGACATATTTACCCTTAAAATAAATATTTCATTTATTTTTCTTCTCCAACAAATTATAACCATGATTTGAAAAAATAAAATACATTAAGTGTTGAATTTAGAATATTTTAAAAATAAAAAAATAAAATTTTAAAAGAAAGTTTGAACCAACCGTTCAAATTGGATCCAAAATCGTGAACCGACGGTTCAAAATAAAACTCAAACCGCGATTATATATACTTATATGTGAGAGTCAATATAAATGCGGAAAAAAATATACACTATTTGCAAATATTATAATTCTAATTTAAGCTATTGCTAGTAGTTGTTCCGATTTGAACCTCCGGTTCACGGTTCAGGATCCATTTTTTTCCAGTTCACGATTTTAATAAACGGAAACCCAAATATTGGGTTATGTTATGAATCATAACCGAAATTTTTTAATTTGATTGCTATTAGTGTTTGGTTCAGTTCGAACCGAACTGTGGTCATTCCTACGTATAAGCAATAATTTGCTGAAGAAGAGAAATAAATAAAATATTTGTTTTAAGGGTAGAAATGTCCATTTAATATTATCAGGGGAAAAAACTGTCACTTCTATAATAATTGAGGGGGCAAATGTGAATGCATGAATAACTCAGGGGGAAAAAGTGCTATAAGCATATAACACAGGGGGAAAAAGTGTCATTTTTCCTTATATAAATATTTTTGGATTTAATTAATTTTAATAGAATTATAATTTTGCAAACTGTGCCAATTACCATGTAGTGTGATGACATCTTGGTTATGCATCCAAGTGGATGGTCAAAGATTTGAACCAGTTTTAAATTTTTTTGATTGAAAATGTTTGAGAAAGTATAGAACACATACTTACCTTGTAAAAAATTATAAGTATTTCAAAAAAAAAAAAATATTTTGCAAAGTATCAAAATACCTTTTCCATTGCAAGTTAATTCTTGTAATAGTAATGTTATACATCTCGCTTACTCCGTAATTTTTAATTCCTAACTTACATAGTACAATCTTATATCCAATTGAAACTTCAGAGCTCTCTGTTCTTCTTTTCCTATGTTCTTCAGCATAAGAATACTACATCGCTTGTATCTTAGGAGTTTTAACACAATTCCAAATACAAATAAAAGACATTAAATTCAATTCTCATATGCTACAAATAACATGAATATTTCAAATTTATTATTTTCATTTTTTTCCCTCAAGTTCATTTTCTTTACCAGACCCTAACCATTCAACTAAAGAAATCTACACACTAAAACATGGCAAATTATTATCTGGACCCGGGTCTAAAGATACACAATTTTTTTTTTTTTTTTTTTTTTTGGATCAACACCAAAGATACACAATTTACATACTAAATGTTCACAATTTACTTTTTAAAAATTTACAATTTTTGATGACCCTATATTGTATTCACAAATTCTCAAAAGTTAAAAACACAATTTATATTCTAGAAGTTCACAATTTCAATACTAAAAATACACAATTTAGGACCAGGGTCCACCTTACAAAATGACCATAGTCCATGGTCTAAAACATTCACATGCAAACCAAAAACTACAATTTCACAACAATAGAACAAAAATGGCAATAGCAAAAACTGTAAAACATAACTACAAAAACAACAAGCATATAACAAGAGAAACTATGAAATGATGCTTCAAGGTTACCTAATTGCTTCATTTGACTAGTCCTTGATTGTTGCATCTCCACTCTTAGTCCCAAGCACTAACCTTTTAAGCCATCCAAGATTTCCATACTTGAATAAGAAATATCCAATGGAAATACCAACAGGTGCGCCAAAACAGTATCCAACTATAACACTTTGCCAGCCAAGTCCACTTCCAAAATGTTGTGAATCCTTCTCATTTGATGTTTTCCCTTCACCCATGTCTTGGCATTTTAATGTGAGGGGTAGTCCACAAAGAGCCATGTTTTCCAAATAGGAATCATTGCCAAATGTGTTAAATTGTGAGCCATGTGGTATAGGACCAGAGAGATGATTATAAGAAAGATTGAGTACAGCTAGAAATGTTAATGATCTTGAAAGCTGCCTGGGAATGTTGCCCGCTAGTTGGTTACATGATAGATCTAATACCTCAAGGAGGGTCAAATTTCCCAATGATGATGGAATATTGCCCGTGAGCTGGTTGTGCGAAAGATTGAGAAACCGAATGAAGCAAAGCTTTCCTAAAGATCTTGGAATCACACCATGGAAGAAGTTGTTGGATAAATCAAGGAGTGTGAAGATATCATAATGCACCACTTGAACCTCTACCCCTTTCCAAACTAAGCTTATTGAAGCTTCAAAAGCTGATAGTGCCCCATCATCATTTGTATGCTGCATGGCTTCAAAGTTTTTCATATAATATCTTGGCAAAGGACCACTGAACTCATTGTTTGAGATATCAAATATATGCAGTTTTTGGAATGGAAGTGTAGTGTTAGAAGTGCATATTTCACCATAAAATTGGTTAGATCGCAGCACAAGAACCCGCAAATCAGGAAGAGTATCTAACCAATGAGGGAATGAATCATGTAACATGTTGTCTCCAAGATCTATAAATTTAAGGTTGTTGCAATTTATCAAATCTTGGGGCAATGACCCTGAAAACTGATTGCCATTCAAATTGAAATACTCCAAGCTATTTTTGTTTGTGCAAACTCCTGGAATAAATCCTTGAAATTGATTTCTGGCTAAATTAATAACCACAAGTTCCCTGCTGAAGTTCTCTAAACACTGAGGTAGTGGACCATGCAAATTGTTATCTGACAGATCAAGAAATTTCAAGGAACTCAAACCACACAACCATGTATCCCTTGCATAAATCAAACTAGAATTTGTTGTTTGATTTGTGTCATTTCGAAGTGTTGGAGTTGGAGTTGGAGTTGGAGTTATCATGCCTTGAAGCTGGTTTTTAGAAACAATTAGAGTTGTCAAAAATTTCAATTTTCCCAGGCATTGAGGAACTGATCCATCCAAACTATTGTTCGATAAAATGAGCACTTCAAGGGATTGTTGAAGATTGCATAGTCCTTTGGGAATATTTCCTCGTAAGATGTTGGAACTGAGAGAAAGATAGTTTAGTGAGGTTACATTTCCTAGACAAGGTGGAATCGAACCCCTCAAACTATTACTATCTAGGTAGAGTACTCCAAGTGAGTGAAGATTGCATAATGTTTTTGGGATACTTCCTTGCAGGATATTAGAAGAAATAGAAAGAGATAACAGTGAGGTTACATTTCCCAAGCATTTTGGAATTACACCATCCAAACTATTTTTAGATAAATCAAGATATTCAAGGGAGTGAAGATTGCATAGAGTTAGAGGAATAGTTCTTTGCAACATGTTGTCGCTGAGATCAAGAACCCTTAGTGAACTTAGATTTCCAATTGTAGGAGGTATTGAACCAGAGAATTGGTTTTCAGCTAGTGAAAGTTCTTTAAGCATGGATAGCTTGACTAAGTTTCTTGGAAATGGCCCTTGGAATAGATTATTGCTACAATCGAAATATCGAAGCTTGCTCATATTGGAGAATATTTGAGAGGGGATAGTACCTTTGAGATTGTTTTCTCCAAGGTTCAAGGACCTAAGCTTTGTTAACCTTTGAATCTCGGTTGGTATAAAATTTTGGAAATAGTTCCAACTAAGATCCAAAGACCTTAGCTGCGAGAGGTTAGCAATAGTATATGGAACTGAACCAATGAAGGTGTTATTATAGAGGCTAAAATGGGTGAGGTTTTGAAATGAAATGAAATCAAGGCTTTCAAGTGTACCTGAGAGGTTCAAATTTTCCAACTTTATCTCATAAAGAGCTCCAACATTGTTGCAGGTGACACCCATCCAATTCCAGCAAACGTTGTCAAGATTAGCAATGGACCATGAATGAAGAACATCATGAGTATTGGATAAGGTGTTCTTCCACTTGAGAAGGGCTCTTCCCTCTCGGTTTTCTAATGTTGCTGTCTCAAAAGAAAGTGAAAACAGAACAAGAATATGAATAACAAAAGGGAGCATTTTAGAAGTGCCCATATCACTATGTTTAATTTCTAGTTCTAATTAATGTGTGTGTGTATATATATATATATAAAGAGGGACTGGCACTATTACTAGTCATTAATTAGGTAGAAATCTGGTAGTGTTCTGAATATGTCAAGTTTGAGTAATTAATGGGTTATTAGAAAATAAGAACATAAATACTTTTACTCCACACTTTATCACTTGACTTGGTCGTCAATGGAAAACACATGGCATGGCCATCTCCAATGAGTCTCCATTTTCTTTCTATAATTTTAATTCGCACAAGAAGACCGCTAAACTAAAATTTTAACTTATATAAAATGTTACACCGACAAAATATGGATATTAATATTGGTCATATATTTTTACGCATTGCGCATATAAAATACTAATAAATTCAATGAGTCCTAAAAATTTATGGACTTTGGAGTAATCAAAAGATCAATAGAATATGAATAACAATTAAATATTATTACCAACTAACAAATTTCAATTTTGCAGATTTATGTTTTCTTGATCAAAAATTTAATAACCAAAAGGAAAAAAAAAACAATAAACAATAAAGTTGATGAACTCAGGCCTATTAAAATCAAAAGCCTAAGCTTGTGTCTGAGCCTGTATGTAGACTTTTTGTTAGGTTCAAGCCTGAGCCTACAATTGGCCTGGCCTGGCCGGAAGGAAAAATTATACTGTGGACTGCGGTCCATAATACATTGTTGGTCCAGACACCAAATATGCACTGCAGTTTCATTTCAACACAACTACAGTATCATTTTGATATAACTACAGTTTCGTTGGATAATATACACTCAAATATGTGAAATTGTTATTCAGTTTCATTTTATATACATTGCAGTTTCATTTAATATAATAAAAATAATACGTGAGACAGTGTCAGTTTAAATACACTATAGTGTCTATTTTTTTGGACCATGGTCCACAAAGCTTTGTGGACTACGGTCCACAATATAATTGCTGGGCCTGAAGTCTTTTTAAAAGTTTGTTTAATATTTAGGTCATGCCATTAAAAAAGCTTCAAAGTAAGTCCTATTTTGAGCCTATTAAAGTCTACATGTTAAGACTTTTTTAAAATTTTAATAAGTATATCTAAATAATTTAAGAAATATACCTAATACAACACTAATACATAATTACATAAGTATATCACTACCCAATGCAAACATATAATAACATTAAAATATACAATAAAATAAAACAAGTCATGACTTCAGCATGCTCGTTAACTTGTTTAGAAATAAATTCAATTGTATTATTGTTTGTCATTCTATATAATCTCATAAATAGTTAACAATCAACTCACATAATTAAGTTGCGACATTTCATTAAATATTATATTAGTAAGAATAATTAATAAAAAAAATTAAACAATAAGATCTAACACTTACAGGGCGTTTGGTTGGAGGGAATTTAAATTCCATTCTCACTTAATTCCTACCTAATTCCAAATGCCACTAAATTCCTTGGTTTGGTTGGAAGGAATTGCAATTCCCTCATTTTCATGGAATTATAATCCCGTGCCTCCCCCCCCCCCCCCCCACCCCACGGGATTTTAATTCCGTGAATCTTGGGAAGAAAAAAAAGATAATGATGAGACAAAATTAGCCTCTCATTTTTTAATCGAAAATTGATGTCTCACAACAACAATGGGCATTTTGGACTTTATACTACTTATTCCCTTTCAATTCCCATATATACCAAACATTGGAATTGAAATTCCCAGTAATTTTATCCCGGTAAACCAAACACTGGAATTTAAATTCCACTTTATTCCCAGTAATTCATCTCCCATTGAATTAACAATTCCTTTCCCACGTAATTCCCTCCTTCCAACCAAACGCCCCATTATAGTAGGATTAGTAGCAATGTTTATAGTTGAATCATAATTTAGAATGAGATTTTGAAGGAGGAGGGTTATGGTTTGGTAATTATATATACTTGGGGTTATATTGTAAATATAAAAATATAATATGTATAAAATAAAATATAAATATAAATATAAATAAACACACACACAGGGAAGGGTTCAAGTGCGAGGAAGGGTTCTCGTGCGGTTGTGCGAAGGACGCACATTAAGCATTAAAATGGTGCACCTTAAGTACACAACCCACGCACCTTAAGCACAAAAAAAAAAAAAAAAACACCTTAAGAACACAAACTACGCACCTTAAGCACACAACAAAGCACCTTAAGAACACAAACCACGTACCTAAGTTTTTAAAATGGTTTACCTTAAGTTTCACACAACTGACGCACCGTAAGCATACAAATCACGCACCTTAAGAAGGAAACTCACGCAACTTAAGTTTCAACAACTACACACATTAAACACAAACCCACGCACCCTAAGCACAAAACTCACGCACCTTAAGTACAAAACCCATGCACTATAAGTTTCAACAACTACTCAAATTAAAGTACACAACTCACGCACCTTAAATACAAAACGCACGCACTTCAATTACTATTGGGTTGGGCTTCCTTCCTATGTGATAAATAGCCCAATTTGAACCAAGCCCGTTTATATGTACCATATATATTTTTGTTGGATCTCCCCTCATCACAGAGAGAGAGAGGGGTGGGGGGGAGAGACCTAATTATTATTGTTATTATATTTATATATCTACTATACTAATAAGAGCCCAAGAGAGTTAGATCTATATTGGGTAGAAAAAATGGCGGTCAAATTTTTTAATCAAATGAATGGCTCAGATTGATCAGATTTTAATTTTTCATCTACTATACTAATAAGAGCCCAAGAGAGTTAGACATATAATGGGTAGAAAAAATGGCGGTCAAATTTTTTAATCAAATGAATGACTCAGATTGATAAGATTTTAATTTTTCATTGATATTTCCTAATTTATCCTTAATGAATATGATTATCCGTTAACTTTTCCGTTAAATATTATCTTTTCCGTTAATTTCTGTTATTTCACCGTTAACTTATTGATTTCAATAAGAAAGGTCTTAGGTCCGAACCACATCCCAATCAAAGTTGGCATAATTAGTACTCTATTTTACTCTTATTAAATTGAAATAATAATTTAGTAGCTACAATAAAAAATAATACATATGCATTTCTTTAATTTAGAATTATGTGTCTACAATGCCTTTATTCAAAAAAAAATTATTCATTATCAAAAAATTAAATAAGAAAAATAATTTCATTAGTTATATTGTCTTTATATTTCTCCAATATAAAAATTCTTTACATTCAAAATTTAAATTCATCAATTAATTATATTCTCTACATTGTCCCTACAATGTCTTTATTAAAAAAAAAAATTCATTATCAATAAATTAATTAAGAGAAAAAATTTCATTAGTTATATTGTCTTTATTTTTCTTCAATGTAAAAATTCTTTACATTCAAATTCATCAATTGATTATATTAACTACATTGTCTATTATCTTTTTTTGTGCACTATTTTTTAATTAAATATCAAAATTATAATACAAAATAATGCTATATATTTATTTACCAAGTATTTTATTAATACTATGAAAAAAATTTAAATTAATAAAGCCAAATATATTAACTACTTGAGTGATTTGTTGACAAAGAGAGTATTCAAATCACACAACAAATTGAAGTGAGAAACTACCTCGCAATGTTTCACAATCAGCAGTTAGCGACTTAACAGATTATATTAGCGGATTTGACTAGCGAATTATATCAACGGTTGGTAAAAAGATATTTGAAAAAATTAGCTGTTTAAATTAACATTTAAAATGACCTAAGGGTATAATAATAATAATAATAATAATAATAATAATAATAATAATAATAATAATAATAACAATAATAATAATAATAATAATAATAACAACAACAACAACAACAACAACAACAACAATAATAATAATAATAATAATAATAATAATAATAATAATAATAATTTTTAAATAAAGATGTGTTTTGGGAAAATCATTCTCAAAAATGTTAAGTGAAAATATTGTAAATTGCAATTTTTGTATTTTCAGTGGTTTGAAACAAATTGTTGCTTCAAATTGCTGAATAACCAAAACACTTTCTTTAGCATTTTGATCTTTGGGTTACATCATATTTACCCATCAGTCCAATATCTTTGGGTTACATTATAATTAAAAAATTTAAATTTTTACTACATTTAAATTCCTTAAATTAGAAATTTCTTTATCCATAATAATTCATTCAACAATAATGGTTGAACTAAATGATCACTGAGCAAAACACCTAAAGGACCGGTACCGTACCGTTAATTCACCGTTAGTCTAATTCTAATATTAAAGTCTAATAGAACTCTAACCACCGGAATCTCCTCAAACAATATTAGTATATATTTAATATTTTATATTTAATTTTTATTTGTTCTCCCTTATGTCTCGTATTTGATTTCGACAATATCCATACAATTATTTTATTGACAATTAGTAAATTAAACAAACTAGTATAATATATAATTAGGGAATGTTTATGAAGATTAGGAATTTTGTTATGAACCCATGGAAAGAGGTGGCGGCAACAAGACTTAAGAATCCTTTTGGCCAAATTAAGAAAAGGAAATCTTTTCCTTTTTGGTTTCATTCTCCAAATTATATATATGGCGTTATTAGGCTTATGGATGTTTGGCCACCAGAGACACGGTAGAGAGGCAGTAGGCATGGGTGAAATAAATGTTCTTTCTCCATCTTTTTTCTTTGGCGTACGCAGACAGCAATGAAGATTATTTTGCCTAGTTTTGTCATGAGTTGCCAAGTTCTTGAGTGTTATTTTTCTGGTTTCAATTAGTTTAATTGGCTTAACGCTTTAGGTAACCTCATCGGTTTTTAGTAAAGTCTTAAATCAATTAAACCGGTCGAAATAGGAAAAATAACAAAACAAAAATATAAAAAGACAAAAATGCTCTTACTAAAAAAAAAAAAAAAAATCACGAGAATGACTAAAGTATCCAAAAAATAATGGTCTGTGATGTTAAATGGCAAAAACGATTGTCTAGGACTAAATTTAG